AATCCAATCTCCTCCTCCTCCTCCTCTTCTTTTTAGTGAATTATGACAAATTTACAGGTCAAGTATAATGGAGGTGGAACAATCATTGTCAGAACACTGTCTAACCTAACAAGCAGGAAGTTGCTTAAATGTTTATATCCTGCCCAAACTACTTATTTATTCAAATATTTATATCCTACTTTTACTGTGACTCAAGGCATCTTACAAATCATACTGAAAAGCATAATATCTGGTGCAATTCCGCAGGGCCTGTAAGACGGAGCTCTTCCACCAGGCTTTCGATTAGGGGCCGCCGCCGCTGCCCCCCCCCGCTGTATACCATCAATGTGGGGGGGTGAGGGCCCTAGGAGACTAGGAGGAACATTGGTGGAACATCTGATTTACACCTTCTATACTATGCCTACGAAGGGATGTTTGATATGTGGGGCCCTCTCTGATGTTGTAGTTGCTGTGTAGTCTGAGCACTTTATTATCTGTTGGTTTTAAAATTGTATATTATGGTTTTAAATTGTATTATAGTATTCGATGTTTTATGAGCAAGTTTTGCTATGTAAGCCGCCCTGAGCCCTACGGGGGAGGGCGGGATATAAATTTAACAAATAAATAAATAAATAAATAAATAAATAATAGGGGGTCTGCAAAAATAACATTTTCCCCCTGCTCCGTTATAGCCTAAGGGGACAATTATTGTCAAAGGTCCCCATAGGCTATAATGGAGAATCGATCCAGGGCTATGTGGGGCTTAGGGGGGGCTGTTTTTTGAGGTAGAGGCACTAAATTTGCAGCATAGCTGCTGGTGCCTCTCCTCAATCCCCCCTCCAAGTTTCAAAAAGATTGGAGCAGGGGGTCCAATTCTATGAGCCCCAAAAGAAAATGCCCCCATCCTCCATTATTTACAACAAGAGGAGAGTGTTTAAAAGGAATGTGGTGATTTTAAATGCAACGGCAGTTCACTCGGAGCTCGCTTCAGAGTTCTATCTCCTGGAGCCTCCTGGTAAGTCTCCTGCCCTCTTTTTGGCCTCACCTGGCAACTCTAACTCCAACAAGCACATCTGAGAGATCCTTCTTGGCTTGAAAATTAATATAGCATCATATAAGAGGAAAGTGTCAAGAAATCCATCCCTTTAAACAGTTTCTTGCTAAATTAACACCATGGTTCAAGCTGAGGCCTAGCTACAAATCATGGAAGTTTCTCTGTCTGAGAACATCGGTCAAGCCATTTGTGGCTTCAAAGAGTCAGATAAGGAAGATGGGAGGCAACCCAGGTACTGGTCAGACTACTGGCCTGGCAGTTTCAAGGCCTCAGAAGGCCGCAAGAATCTAGGAGGTGCCTGTTTGTGCCCAAGCGCATGGGTGAAGAAGGTGTTTGCTTAATTGAACTTGATGGAGCTGCAGAACATCTGGTCTAATTGGCAAACTCACCTGATTGACTGGTCTAATTGGCACACTCACAATATACCTGATTTGTTAAGTTACATCATATGCTATAAATTTGATTTGTTAACTAAAATCAAGCCAATGTGGGTTGTTGAGCATAGAGGAAAGAGCTTTCATCCTAGTTTTGACCTTTGTCTGGATTACATCTAATCTGGGACACTTCTGGATTATGGGTGGGTCATATTTACTTAAACCTTTGTGGATTATTTAGTATGCGTGACCGCGCAGCCTATGTTACTTATATTCTGTGGTCTTCTTGGGTTTGGGGTCTTCAGTCTGAATCTAGTACTTTAGTCCTTATTGGCTAGAGCTACCAGAGTAACTGTCTTCTGGAACTCACCTTGTGAGTGTTCTACCTTACAGGGCTGAGTTTCTTGTTCTGAGACCTGGGAGGACTAGAGGCTTAGTCCCTTGGTTTCTGGCTGACTAGGCAGTAAGGGGACTGGTAGCAGTGATACCCTGCGGTGTGAGCATCCACACTTCAGCTTTTTAAAAAAATTCTCTTGCCCAAACTGCCCCTTAAACAGGACTTTGGCTTTAAGGTCCTTTGACAGAAGATAGAAGACAGTTCTATTCCTCTAGTGATCACAAACCTCAGCCCACAAAATGAGAATTTTAAAAAGCTCACATTGCTAATTGGTGGCTCATGAATCAACAGGACAGACTTGGTTATTTTTAAAAATGAAATGGGGTATAAACTTCATGTCTAACAGCGGCTAAGTGCCGATTATCCTCCTGGATAGGCACCAGGCAGATCCCCATAGCCCCCAATCTGCCCTGGCCCTTGCGGAAGACTGAAGGGAGGGGGGCAGAAGATGTCTATCATCAGCAATCAGAGACAAGGGAGTCAAGAGTAGCCTGCTCCTGATGTTTCCTCACTGGGAGCTACCAAAGCATAATAATCTCAGCACAATTGGCCATAACTCTCCTACACCACTGACAGGTACACAAGTACCCTCACATATACACAAAGCCTGGGAGCTGCTGCTGGAGGAAACAGCAGAGCAACAAAGGACACATGTGAAGCAGGCAGGAGCTGCAGCACCAGAAACGTTCCTAGGGAAGGCCATTCCTTTGGCCATTTATTGCACAGTTCACAAAGGCATTAGGTGGCATTAGTATAAAAGGAAAGAGTGGAAAGTGGTTGAAGAAAGGGAACCCTGACTGGAAGAGCACAGAACAGGCTACTGCTGCTGTGCGGGGCAACAATGTATGTGTGCTACTTTCCAGGCGCAACAGCAGCTGCTGCATAGTCCACCAAGGACTGCTGGTTGGCTGGCTGGCTGGCTAGGCCCTGCCTCCTCCACCTCAGAGGTTCAGCATGAATTCAGCTGGCCACCAAGCAAGGAGGGGAAGGGAATGGCTGCCATGAGTCTCCAAGAGCCCACAAGCCACTTCTGCAGGCTTCGCAACGCACTGGTGGATGGCGACACACAAGTTAGTAAGCAGTGTCCTTAAGTCATCTAAAGGGATGGACGCAAGATCTACCAACATTTCCTTGACTTACTGTGACATAGGTAACAGCAAACTCTGAATTCTCCCAAGTAGCTGAGTGGCACATTTCATATCAACTTTTGTGCAACTGTAGTAGAGATGACAGCTATGTGAATGGGAGGCCTTTCTAGTTTGGCCATGTTCCCACAGTGCGTTATACCAGCCTAAGTGCCAACGTACACATGCTGTCAAAAAGTGAGCATGGTCAGTGTCAGAGGCTGCCATGTTTAAGCACCAGCCAGGACTCACAGCCTCCTGCCCAAATGGAGAAGCTTCAGTTCCTACTAGATGTGTCTATAGACAGCAGAGAACAAGAGAATTGCACTGTGCTGACTCCTCTGGATCAGAAAAGAAGAACCCTTCAAACTGACCCAGAGGCCTCTGGAATGTTCCAGTGACTCCCTCCCACCCTTGAGATCCAGCAGCCCAAGATAGCTGCACTGTACTCCCCCTGCAGTGTACTGAAAGTTCTGAAGGGCTGAAAAAGGAACTGGCTCTTTGAAGGGGGGGGACTGTGACTGAGTGAAGAAACAGAACCACAAATATGGGGAATGCTACCTACCATGGGGGGCAGGCAGGCTGTAAAGGAAACGGGCACGCGACGACGTCAGACGCTAAGCCCAGCGGAGCCGGAAAGGACATAGCTGAGGCGAGAAGAAGGCGGAGTCACGTGCCTTGAGAGAGTTCCGCCAAGCGCCGGGAAGAGCAACCCACCAGGAAGAAACCCCGCCAGGAAGAGCAGCCCGAGCACCAGAAAGAACGATTTGCCAGAGCAGACCAACAAAGGAACAACACCAGCCACCACCATAGGGGTGCCGGTAGGCTACCCCACCCCACAACACATGTGCCCCTAGTTAGAAGACAATAAAATGGTGACTAGCACCGACGTGTAAGCCGCTCAGAGACCCCTAGACAAGGGATTCGAGCGGGATATAAAGTTGAACGAATAAATAAATAAATAAATAAATAATGGATGTTCCATTGAACGCCCCTTACCTAGGTGCTCCTAAAAACCTTCAGCTGCCCCTAATTTAGATGTTATAAATAAAATTTAGTTGGCTTTCTCCAGCTATCAACTTGAACTAGCAATGCGGTTTACGTCTTTATATTTGACATCACTTGGATGCTTTGATTGTGCAGAATGTCCTGTGTCTGTGTATCCTTCTTCCCACAACCAAAGGGCTCTCTGCAGCTTCTCATCACTGACCCACCATCCAAGGGTCTGCCAGAGTCCCATCATGAACCATCTGTGGGCATATCTCCTAACAAGTTGTATCCTGAGAGTTCTAAAGTTCAGAATGTTCTCTTGTATCCAGAGTGTGCAGAAACCATTACTTCGGAAAATAACCTTGTTATCTAAATGTTATCATTTTGCATAACTAATTCCTGCAGATGGGGTGTATTTTCTCTCCCCCCCCCCCCCGCCCTAAGGACTCCAGGCTGGTATCGACCAGGACCAAGGCGTTTTCTGTAGCAGCTCCAACTTACTGGAATGAGCTCCCGAATGAGATCAGGGCCCTGCGGGACCTTTCACAGTTCTGCAGGGCTGCGGAAACAGAGCTGTTCCACCAGGCATTTAGGTGAGGAGCAGCATTTCATCATCTATGCCCTGTGCCAATTTTATTGCCAGCCTGAGCCTGCCGAGAGTGGCTGTACCGCCGAATGTATGTCTCTATATGCACTTTACCACAGCCATATCACCATTGTTGTGTTAATGGTTTTAACACTCTATCATGTATTTTGTATTGATATTTGTATTGTTGTCTTATTTATTGTTTCCTATGTAAGCCACCCATAGCCTGCCTTGGCAGGGAGGGCGGGGTAAAAAAATCAAATTAATAATAGATAAATAATAAATTGTTTCCAGAGTGTGCAGAAACCATTATTTTGGAAAATAACCTTGTTATCTAAATGTTATCATTTTACATAACTAATTCCTGGGGATGGGGTGTATTTGATCAGGTGATGAACGCGGGACTACAAAAGGAAGGATCTAAAGCAAGGCAGAATTAAAGAGCCCAATGAAAGCATTGACTCCCAACTGGTGTGAAGGGAGGACCATTGCGAGGATGAAAACAACACTGTTGATCATCCTGTTGGCATCCATCTATCTGCTCCATGCAAGAGCTGACGTTACCGATGTTCCTGTATATCCAGACTTTGATGTCCATAAGGTAAGCACCAAATGGTCTCTAAATAAGGGTTTAAGAAACCTCAGGATGCTAATGTAAGAATCCCAGCAGGAGGCTTCAGCTTACCCAGCTCTTGCCTGTCTTCGTGGGGACAGCTATTTTGGTCTGTGGCAACCAAAACAAGTGTCCTGGGGGCTCCCTAAGTACTGTTAGATTTCTCATGGTAAATGTGTTATGTTCAGACATACCAACCAACTGGCAGAAATATGTCTTTGTGGACAATCAGACAATGGCTTAGGGGAGGAGTGAGAGTTATAAAGCAGGGCAATTCAAGAGACAGGTGTTATCACTGTAATAATAGAAAAGAAGAACCAAGAAAGGTAATGTTAAACTATCCACATTGCTACAATTGGCAAAAGACAGAAGAGACTTCCTCACTTCTGCAGGAGTATAGCATACCCTTAGGGCTGCCAAGCCGCGGCAGGGGATCCGCACGTCTTCACAGGATCCCTGCCGCGGGGGACAGCGATACGCATTGCGCCGCCGTCGCCAGGATGTGACGCTATGCTTGGCAGCCCTACATACCCAGCAGTTGTGGACAGGCTTACATCGGGACCCCGCAACATAGTATCCAAACAAGAATAAAAGAATATGAAAGGTACTGCAGACTTGGCCAACCTGAAAAATCAGCAGTGGCTGAACGTAGCCTGACTCAAACAGGACACAGTATCTTATTCCAAGACACTGAAATGCTAGACATCACATTCAATTACCATGTCAGATTACACAGGGAAGCTATTGAAATTCATAAACATAAACACAATTTCAACAGGAAAGAAGAGAGTTTAAAAATAAACAGGGCATGGTTTCCTGTCCTGAAAAACACAAAATGCTCTATGCCTTACAACAGCACTACAGGTAAGATTAGAATTTCAACAGCCAATCCATATGCAAAAGAACCTCCTCAGGAAAGCTCCTCCATTAGCATGTCACAGCCTGGGAAACTCCTACAAGATAATAACTCATCCCCACCTCACCTTCCAGAATAGATATAAATTACCTGCCTACCATTTTTCTTCTCACATTGACACAGAGATTAATCCATCTTTCTGTGTCATACCTCTGAGGATGCCAGTCACAGCTGCTGGTGAAATGTCAGGTACTACAATGTCAAGATACTACAGTGTCAAGGTACTACAATGTCAAGACCACAGCCATACAGCCCAGAAAATCTACAACTACCTGCATTCTAGTCCACGTTGAAACTGATTGTTTCCAACAGGTGATGAAGTGGCAAAGTAAAGTGAAAGTGCCATCAAGTTGCAGGCACCTGATGGTGACCTTGTAGAGTTTTGAAGGACAAGATGAACAGGTGGTTTGCCATTGCCTGTCTCTACGTAGCAACCCTGGACTTTGGTGGTCTCCTATCCAAATACTAACCAGGAACAGCCCTCCTTAGCTTCTGATGATGGCAAAATCAGCTAGGCTGTGCTGTCAGTAGGGCCATGGTTATGGGCAGGGGTCATTTCCTGCTGGAGCGCACAGGAGCGGAGCTCCAGCAGGAAAGAGCCCAGGGGGTGGGCACATGCAACAAGCCCTACCCCCTGCTCCCAGCAGCCCTCAGTCAGAGCAAGAAGCAGCCAGGTAAGTTGCAGAGCTCCCCCCATCCCCCCGGTCCAAAACAGTCCAGTGGCACCTTTAAGGTCAAGTTTTATTCAGGTACAAGCTCTCCCTCCTTTGCGAGAACAGATCTGCATGCCCCCCCCCCAATAGCTAGCAATCCAAAACAGTCCAGTGGAGCCTGAGCGGTGGGTGTTGCCTTCTGACACACTTCCAGTGATGTCAGGGGATGTGGCATATGCAAATAAGTTACGCTAATGAGTTATGCTAATGAGCTTCTGAAGCTCTTTTTCTACGAAATGTCCCCTGGTTATGGGTATTATATAGAAAAAAGCACCCACCAAGACAAAAACTATTCAGTTCTGTTTGCTTGCTTCTTACATCAGTGTGCTTCTTTTCTGCCAATGAAATGCATTCAAAACAGTTTGCCATTTATAATGACTTATGACCTGATCAGTATGATATAAATGAAAAACTGGAAGGAAGAAGAAAATAGACACATTTTGCTACCAAATCCTACATCATATGTTTCCAAATAACTCATGGCCAAGTGAATGGGAAACTTCTGGAGACAGTTCTGGTGGGTAGGGGGCCAATAACATCCATTTTTAGCCAAGCAACTGTTTTGTTATCCTTTACATTGTGAGGTGCCTTGCGTTGCTATAAGGTGGCTAATACATGTCTTAAATAATTAAATAAAGCCAATGGATGATGGGCTCATAACCACTGTGTGTGTGTCACTCTCTCTCTGATGCACCAGAAGAAATGGCTGCTGAGGTTAAATTCTTGGTGGGTCCCTGCCCTGGAAGGCTGTCTCTTCCTTAGCCGAGCCTGAGCGGTGGGTGTTGCCTTCTGACACACTTCCAGTGATGTCAGGGGATGTGGCATATGCAAATAAGTTACGCTAATGAGTTATGCTAATGAGCTTCTGAAGCTCTTTTTCTACGAAATGTCCCCTGGTTATGGGTATTATATAGAAAAAAGCACCCACCAAGACAAAAACTATTCAGTTCTGTTTGCTTGCTTCTTACATCAGTGTGCTTCTTTTCTGCCAATGAAATGCATTCAAAACAGTTTGCCATTTATAATGACTTATGACCTGATCAGTATGATATAAATGAAAAACTGGAAGGAAGAAGAAAATAGACACATTTTGCTACCAAATCCTACATCATATGTTTCCAAATAACTCATGGCCAAGTGAATGGGAAACTTCTGGAGACAGTTCTGGTGGGTAGGGGGCCAATAACATCCATTTTTAGCCAAGCAACTGTTTTGTTATCCTTTACATTGTGAGGTGCCTTGCGTTGCTATAAGGTGGCTAATACATGTCTTAAATAATTAAATAAAGCCAATGGATGATGGGCTCATAACCACTGTGTGTGTGTCACTCTCTCTCTGATGCACCAGAAGAAATGGCTGCTGAGGTTAAATTCTTGGTGGGTCCCTGCCCTGGAAGGCTGTCTCTTCCTTAGCCTCTGTGCCCCAAGGTAGTCGCCTGATCCCGTTTCCCTTTCCCTCCATGCTCAGTCCATTGCTGGTGCCTCCTTAGCCTTGCTCGGCCTCCATGTTGGCTGCCATATTCCACTCTCAAGTCAGACGTGTTAATTGAATCTCAGCTCCCAAGATCAGTGGTGGTGAAGAGCATGTAAGAGGGCAAGCAGGCCTGGCATGTGGGGGCCAAGGCACAGATTGTGGGGGGTTTCAAAATTTGCACCTCTGGGGATAGAGAGGGTGGCCATGGCAGGAAGCCAGAGGGCTCACACTTTGGAGATCATGAGGACCCAGGATCCAGTCTTTACTGGAGGATACTAGGAGAGATCAGGAAGGGGGTATTAGGCTGGTTGTCCTCAGAGTCACTTTAGCCTGTTGCAGTGTCCTCTAGCCTCCTGAGAAAGGGGCTTTGCTCAGCTTCAGAACAGATAGGGGAGGGGGATTTGTAGGCACCCTGCCTCCTCACCATCATGACTTGACCAAAAGCATGCCCAGGGCCCCTGTGATCATTTCCCCACAAGATCATTTCAGCTTCCAAGTGTGCTCCTGCCTGCATCAGAGATCAGATTGCTTTCTTGAATAACAAACTGATATTGAGCTCTTCTTTCTAGCTTGCTGGGATATGGTATCCCATTGCAGTTGTCTTGAAAAACAGGGAGCCAGTGAACACAATCCCCATCGATAATGTAGTGGAGCCTTCTGATGCAGGAGATTTGGTTCTCAAGATGCGCTACATTAAGTAAGTTCCCGTGTGTTACGACGATCATCAGCTTCCTTTGCAAAGTGCAATCTGTTCATAAAGAAGAAGAAGAAGAAGAGATTGGATTTATACCCCCCCCTTCACTTGGAATCTCAGAGCGGCTTACAAACTGCTTTCCCTTCCCCTCCCCACAACAGACACCCTGTGAGGTGGGTGGGGCTGAGAGAACTCTGACACAAACTGCTCTTTTTCAAGGACAGCTGTGCCAGAGCTTGTGACTGACCCAAGGTCACATCAGCAGGTGCAAGGGGAGGAGTGGGGAATCAAACCCGGTTCTCCCAGATTAGAGTCCGCACACTTAACTACTACACCAAACTGGCTCTCTACACCAAAGGGCAAACCAAAGGGCAAACACTTAACCACTACACCAAACTGGCTCTCTACACCAAAGGGCAAACCAACCAACACTGTTTTGCGAGGGTTGCAATCCACAATTAAATGAAGAAGTAAGGATGTTGCCAACAGAGCTGAACTAAATTTGGTACTCAAACTATTCTCCTTTTACATTTTTATAGTAAATATTCTTGACTTGGGAACCTTCGGCCAATATTTGGTCATATTTGGTACTCATAACGTATCATCCTCTATTCATTCTTTTCTGAGAGTCAGGGTGCTGTAGTTGTTAAAAGCGGCAGACTCTAATCTGGGAGAACCGGGTTTGATTCTCCACTCCTCCACTTGAAGCCACCTGGGTGACCTTAGGTCAGTCACAGCTCTCTCAAGAGCAGTTCTCTCGAAGCTCCCTCAGCCCCACCGACTTCATAGAGTGCCTTTTGTGGGGAGAGGAAGGAAAGGTGATTGATTTTAATGTATTTTAACTTGTAAGCCACCCTGAGCCTGCCTGGCAGGGAGGGTGGGATATAAATTGAATTAAATAAATAAATAAATAAATAAATAATAAACCACTCTGAGATTCCTTTGATTACTGAAGGGCAGGGTATAAAACCTCTGCTTCTCCTTCTCCTCCTGTTTTGCTGTGATCTTTCTGAAGACTGGTTTTGATGTGATGTTTTTGGAAAGACTGCAGTCAAAGCTTCCTTGGCTGTATATAAATGGGATGATGCACATTTGTTTTTAATACCCTGCCCACATTGGTGCTATTTTTGTGTAATGGTCCCTGCGGCAGCCATCCTTCCTTACATATGGGCTTTAAAAAAATATCAGTAATAGTTATATCCCTATACAGTTATAAAGTTATAACTGTTATAACAGTCAATGACTGTAACGATTCCTTGTTTTATTTGTGTGTGTGTCTTTAAAAGTTTGGTTGCATGGCTGCGTGATAGTCTAGAGTGGCTGAAACAGACAAGGGGTGTGATTGGTGAGTGACAGAGAGGGGGAGGGGTTTTGGAAGTGATGCTGTGTGGATATATGTATGTCTATCAGGAGTGACAGTTTGAGGTTTTGACAGCTGAAGGGTGACAGTTGATGAGGACAGAAAAACAGTTAGTGAGTTAGTTCTGAAGTTGGAGAGAGAAGCTGTCTTGTGGATGATATAGGAATTAGTTCTGTGTATGAAGAAGAGTTGAATGTATATGAAAGAAGAAAGTAAAGTTAAAGAGAAAAATAAAAAGTCTGAGTGACAGGATAAAAAGAAACAGTAAACATATATGGCCTAAGGGAAAAAGTGTTACAAAGTTACATGCCAAAATCCCTGACAATGTGAGAGAAAAGTGTGTGAAAAATCAGTTGGAATTGTTCAGTATTTACCCATTCCTAGATACAGAGTACTATCCTGTTATTTACAAATTATATCAATAAATCTACTTTTATTAAGATACCAGCTCTGAAAAAGTGTTACAAAGTTACATGCCAAAATCCCTTACAGTGTGAGAGAAAAGTTGTGAAAAACCAGTTGGAATTGTTCAGTATTTACCCATTCCTAGATACAGAGTACTATCCTGTTATTTACAAATTATATCAATAAATCTACTTTTATTAAGATACCAGCACTGAAAGAAATACTTCCCAGGACCACATTAGTACCTCGAAAGCTCTTAACCCGACCTACCTACCCAGTGATAGAAATAATATAGTATAAAGGTTTGGAAAACCTTAAATTTCCTGGTGGCAGCCGGATATACATAGTAAAATAAAACATAAAGAACACTTTTAAAGAGAAACCAGACCTCCCCAGTTAAGGGGTCGTCACAACAACAGTCTAAAGGTAAAGGTTCCCTTGCTCGAAAGCCAGTCGAATCCGACTCTAGGGTTGCGGTGCTCATCTCCATTTCAAAGCCGAAGAGCCAGCGCTGTCCGAAGACGTTTCCGTGGTCATGTGGCTGGCATGACTAAACACCAAGGTGCACGGAACGCTGTTACCTTCCCACCGAAGTGGTACCTATTTATCTACTTGCAATTTCTTGCTTTCGAACTGCTAGGTTGGCAGGAGACAACAGTCTACTAGTTCCCAAATTGCATTTTTTTTAAAAAAAGTCTCTAGCTCTTTTTGTTGCAGAGTTGTAAGAGGCATAGGCGTAATCTTCGTGGGGGCGGCGGGGCTTCAGCCCCCACCAAAATTTTCAGGAAAGTGCTCAGCCTCCCCCGGGAGCCACCCTTGCTCCTAGCACAGCAATGCCTCTGGCCCAGCCCCAGTCACCCCCCCCCCCGGGAAATTGGAAAGTCTACACCCTTGGTAAGAGGAAAGGTATTGTCCACACATTTCTCTTTATAACTCTGCAAACAAAGCAGCTAGAGACTTTTTCTAACCCCCCCCCTGCAGTCTGGAAACAAGTGTATTTTTTGTAACAACTATACAAATATAGTGAAAGTGTGTGTGGGGAAATACCTTCCACTCGAGGAACCATATCAATATTCCAAAAACGGTGACTGCACTCCGCCTATGAACTGGAACCTGGCTACAAATGTTTGTAGCTAGCAAAAAGGAGAGATACTGACAATGAGTTATTAGACTCCAAGCTCTGAACACGTCTGTGCTTAGTTATGCAGACCCGTTATGAGAAAAGAAAAGCTTCCCCTCCTTCCTTTGGGTAGTTTCAGTGCTATTGTCTGATAACTTCCCTGACAATCAAACCACGGCTATAGTGGCTTCCTTTCTAGCTGCGGTGATTAAGAAAACAAATCTCCCTGAGTTTAATTAGTTTACTGCTGATAACTGTCGACCTTTTAAGTGTGTGTTGTTGTTTTTAATTTATTTTATTTTATCCTGTACAGTTGCTATGGCTTTTTTGCTAATGCAATAAATATTATTATTATTATTAGTTATGCAGATGGACCTGGCCCAAGTGAAACAAAAGGTTTACTATCTGACACTTTGCTGGAATATCACTCCTAAAGAACAGAGAACTGCAAAGCCAAAAGGCTAGAGAGCGTTTTCTTCCTTTGGGGCCGAAAGATCATGACTGACCCCAGAGGAGGAGGTACTTCCAGGGGGAGTTTATATATTCTCAGGACATGAGGAAGTCGCTGTTTTGCTCTTCTCCTTGCTCATCTGTCTTGGATGGGCACACACTATGAAAGATGGAGTTATCTAGAGACTCCCATCTTGAGCATGTGTTGAATAGGGCTTCCAACCTCCAGTTGTGGCCTGGAGTTCTCCTGCTATTACAACCGCTCTCCAGGTTACAGAAACCAGCTCCCCTGGCGAAAATGGCCACCTTGGAATGCAGACTCTATGGCACTGTACCTTGCCGAGCTCCTTCCCCTCCCCAAACCCCACCCTCTCCAGGCTCCATCCCCCGGATCTCCAGGTATTTCCCAACCCAACCCAAAGCTGGCAACCCTAGTGTTGAAGGACAGTGCAAGAAGTCCTAGCTTCGAGAACTATGATAATGGTTTTAAACTGTCTTCCCTCCAAGGGCCAGCTTGCCCGGGTACCCTGCAGCCATGGGACACCTGGGCAAGCCAAGGGAAGGCAGTTTAAATTGCCTTCCCTCCAAGGGCAGGCTTGCCTGGGTGCCCCGCAGCCATTGGGCATCCGGGCAAGCCAAGGGGTGGCAGTTTAAACTGCCTTCCCTCCAAGGGCAGGCTTGCCCAGGCTCCCTGCAGTGAAGGGAGCGTGCTGTCTCTGTGGCGTGACTGGAGGTTTAAAGTTTGCCTTCCCTTCAGTGAATGGAACCCGCTGCCCTCCAAGCTAGCCCTTCCTGCCTTCCCTGGCCCGCCACTGAAGTGGGTAGGCCAGGAAAGGCCTGTAGAGTGCCCCCCTAGCCTTTCCTGGAAGGATTGGGGGGGCATTTAAATGTCTCCCCGTGCCTTCCCTGGCTCGCCCACCAAAGCGGCAAGCCAGGGAACGCCTGGAAAGAGCCCCCCCACCTTCCCTGGCCTGCCTGCCGAGGCGGACCAGCCATTCAAGGCCCTGGAAGGTGTCCAGCAAAGGACTTCCCCGAATAGATGCTGAATATATGGCATCCATTCAGGGAATCCTTGTTCAGCCAGCCAAATCAGATTAGGGAATCTGATTCGACTTTAGGCAGACCGAAATAATGCCAAATAGGCATTATTCCCCCCCCCCCGTTTCATCCGAACTGAATGCACATCCCTAGTGGGATGTTTTCAAGGATGCAAAAGTACAATGCATCGTGGGATCAGCTTGATTAGAGCAGAGAAGAAATGCTTGGGGGCAGAAAATTAGGATCTGTAGTGAGATAAGAATCCTATTTCCCTGTTCAGCCCTGGAGGATTCATTATTCTGAACTCATGAATTCAGCAAATTCAGCAATCTTGAATTTAAATTGCCCTTTCATTTTCTTTTGGAAGATCGACAATCTTGGGCTGTGATCGTACACATAATTAGACCCAACATAGGCGCAAATGCTGGGTGGAGTTAAAGGGAGCGATGAGACAACATCTGGGAAGCATCCTGCAGCCATCGGCAACCTGTTCTGCTCCACTGCAGAAGCAGAGTTAAAAGACACTGGGGAAAATCCGGTAGTAAACGGGTTGGGATGGGCCACACTTTCCCCTGTCTGATCGCTCCAGAGCACTCTCATACCACCAGGATGGTCTGATCAGGCCATCCCGACTCTGTGCCATTGTTTTCCCCTCCTTCGCAGTATGCGCATCATCGCAAACTCCATAGGGAGCCCTCAGGGTGCGGTTCATCAATTCCTTGTTTAAACGCATGGGAAACAAACAGCACCCAAAAATGACTCACCTGCAGTTGCGTCTGAACACACACTGATGGGCTGCACCTGCAGCTTCAAAGGGAGGTGTGATCTTGCAACTGTGGGTCAAATTCCTCTGGAGGATATAGCCTCGCTCCTCCCCCATTTTATTTGTCACGTGTGACTGCACCCTTGGGTCGGCAATGGAATGACCTAAAAGGGTAAAATGTACTCCCTCTGGTTTTTGAGAATGGTGTTTTTGAATGTCAAATTTACTTCCGTTCTGAGTAGGGACTGACCTGTTTGCCCAATGTGGAGAGGAAGGACGTTGCTGATGGCATATATAATGTTCCTAAATGAACAATTGAATGAAGCGGGGTTTTTAAGTCTGGTTAATCTGTTGTCAGAGTGGATTATGGGCACAGAGCTGGCATCTTGGTTTGCGGGAGGCCCTGGGCCCAGAGTCCGTGTCCATGTTTGGAAGGGTATTGCAGTGGGTGAGAAGTTGTTCATGATTAGAAGACTGTGGGCAAGAAAAGGTTTGCCTCCTGAAAACTGTAGATTGTTGTTGATGCATTGAGCTGAGAACTGTATGTGACCCTCCCCAGTGGTGTTCTGTTGTTGTTTTGTTTAGGCCAGTCTTGTAGCAGGTTATCCCTTGGTACCACTCTGGCTTTGTTGATCTGTTTCCTTACTTCATCAGGTGGGTATTGTAATTCCAAGAATGTCTGCTGTTGATCCTGCAGGTGAGAATCTCTGCTTGAGGGATCGGAACAGATGCAGCTGCAACTCAATGGATGGTTCCATGAGTTTAGGATGGTGACTGGAGGCCTAAAGACCAGGCCCATAGCTAACAACTTTTTGCTCAGGGGCCCCATGTTTTTCTCAGGGGGCCCACCACCAATGTTCCCTCTAAGCTGTGGAGTTTTGTGAGCAAAATTTCTACTTTGTGAGCTACTGCCATTAAAGTTGTGAGCCAGCGATTTGGCTGCTGCACAAATTCGCTTGCTCTGGAGCCATCCTCCTTGAGCTAAGGCAAAAATGGCAACCCAGGGGATATCTAGGCTCCTCCTGGAACCTTACTTCATTGGGCCCAAGCCTTCCCAATCAAGTGTAGTCCCTTGCAAACTTTCTTTTCCCAGCCCGCCCTTTCCTAACTCTCTTCTCCCCCGTCTGCGCTATTGTCATTTGGCATCTGAAATCATTTCACTCTCCACGATATAAGGAGAGATGGACTCACATTCCAGCTGTATATGAATAAGTGAGCAGTGATTCATGAAAGCTCATGCCCTGTCACAAATTTTGTTAGTCTTTTCTTTAAGGTGTTGTTGGACTCTTGCTCCCTTTCACTAATGAGAAATGCAAGCTGTACTGTCCTGG